CTGGAAGCGACGATCGCCGGCTTTCTCGTGCTTTTAATGTGCCGCTCATGTGGGCTTTGATCATAGATTAAGGCCACCCGCAGTTAGCCCAGCTCCTGCGCTGGTACTCTGGTTATTTCCTTTCCGCCTCCCCCCGCCGCGTAAGATTTTACTCAAAGCCTACTCGGCTGGCACTGGTGTTTTGCATGGATGCAAGTGGTTCTCACAAAAAAGATAAATGGAACACCACGTGCGGATACTGACGGCGTTCGCCTTGCGCCGTGCCGCGTCCAGGCCACGCCTCAATATGCCTCTCAACCTTGATCGTGGCCGTGGTTGAAGCCGGGACCGTTTTCGGGAGCGACTTTCGGCGGTGGGCAGCACGCTCCGGCTGCGTCCGGCGGCGGCCGTCCTTGCAGTCTGTGTCAGAGCCGAGAATCGATCGTGCGGAGCGGGCCGGCGCGCGCTGCGTCTGTCCCGTCGTCGGCGGCAGCGGCGGCCGCGCCCGCCGGAGTGGGTCGTCGGCAGGCCGAGGAGTCGGAGGTGAGTCGCGGCCTGTCGGGGGCGGTGCGCCGCCGCCGCCGCTGGGGTCGAGGCCGAGGCCGACGGCCACAGCTGGTCCGTGTGTGCGGTGCGGCGAGCAGCAGTGCGAGGAGGCGCGGACCTGGTGTGGTGCTGCGGCTAACCGCGCCTACGGCTTATCTCAGACGATGCTGGGGCGGCTGGGGGGGTCGTTGGGGCCGACGGCTGGGGAGGCCCTGGGGGCTGGCGGCTGGGGAAGCCCAGGGGGCTGCCGGCAGCGGCGCTCAGCTGTGGGGGCGCTCGTCTGGACCACCCGAATGCGGCGCCACATGCAGGTGCCTCCGAACCGCCGCCGGACGTCCAGCCGGCTGCCAGCTGACCGGTGGCCGCTGGGCCGGCCGACCTTGACCTGCCGATGGCAGTGAGGTCAGACGGCCGACCTGACCGACGTCTGACGGGTCGACGCCGCCCCGTGTCAGGATCGATGTCGTGCTCTGTCGTGACCGACGCGGGCTGGGTGGCACCCTGCCGCCGTCCGGTCCGTGATGGGCGGTCGCGCAGCACGGGGTGGGCCGGCTAACCCCCGGGGGGCAAGCGGACTGAACCGCGGGTCAAGCGCACGTTTGTGCCTCAGCATAGCGCTCCTCACACTGCTGTCTCGTCACGCGCGCTGCCGGGCGTCATTGTTGCAATACTCGTGACATAGTGGACGCAGCGGTGGGCGACGTTGCGCTCATGAACACTGCGGCTTCCAGCTTTGTCATCACGCTGTTCACGGCCGGGGGAGCTCTGTCACTCTGTTCACGGCCGGGGCTCTGTCACTCTGTTCACGGCCGGGGGCTCTGTCACTCTGTTCACGGCCGGGGGCTCTGTCACTGTTCACGGCCGGGGATCTGTCACTCTGTTCACGGCCGGGAGCTCTGTCACACTGTTCCCAGCCCGGGGCTCTGTCATACTGTTCTCAGCCCGGGGCTCTATCACACTGTTCTCAGCCCGGGGGCTCTGTCGCACTGGTCTCAGCCCGGGGCTCAGTCTCACCGCTCGCGCCCGGGGTTGCTGAGAAAGGCTGGGCATGGAGCGCGGTTGCCGATGGCTGTGTAGCACCACCGGATGTTTCTTGCTTTGTCTCGCCTCCCACGCTGCTTGATTTTCGGTGGCTCAGACAGTGTGTGGGATGAGGGGAGGGGTTTATCAGGTCAGGTCGGTCGGCTACGGGAATTGCTCGGGAATTCGGCTGACGATCTCAGACGCTCCAGAGCTGAATTGGCCGATCACGGAGAACAGCAGATGGATGGTTCGCCTGCCAGCATCACGTGACGTGTCTTCGACATTATCGAGCCCTGCAGCCTCGGCTGGTCCATTTGATGACGCTCGACTGTTGGCGGCCCGTCCCCGCTGACGCCGACGCCGTCCAACCCAGACGGCGGCGGGGTAATGAAGTGTGGCTCGCGGCGGCCATCTGTGGCTGCCGCTTCTCCGCACCAGGGCCGCCTCGTGTTGCGAGGGCTCTGCCCGAACCCAGCGACACCGTGACGCCGGTCGGGTTCACGACGATGCGACCGTGCCGCTTTACGAACAGGGAGATCCCCGCTGAGCTTGTCCTGGATCACGTCCCGATGGCGCTTGGTGATGCGATGCGTACAACCTGTCAGCACGTTTTCGACGTCGCTGGGTCTGATCGGCTCGAATTTCGGACAATATGACGATACGGTGTGATCTGCTAGGTCACTGGTGATGTATCTGGTCTGATATGCCCGAACTTCTGATATCTGCTGATCTTCATCTGCGTGATCCCCTGCTCCGTCTGGTCCGATCTGTCCAATAAAACCCGTTGTAGCGATCCGATTTCCAGGCTCTAACATCTGACATCCTGATCTCGTTATGCTCCTGGTATCTGGCTCTCTTGTCAGCGGGTCGGCCGCGGCCATACCGCAGATGACGGGCTCAGATGGTGGCCGCCCTACCGCCGGTCTGGGATGGCAGACGAGGTGAGGTCTTGCCAACGCCGACTCAGTCCGGTTCCTGGAGCGAGGCCGGCGTAAAGCGTGCGGCGCTATCTGGCGGCCCAGCTGGCGGCGGCCGCATTGGGGGCTATCTCGCCGTTATATCGTCTGGCCGTCTCCCCGGCCGGCGCGCAGTCGGCGTCACCTGCCGCAGCTGCGATTAATAGGGCGGCCTGCCTGGCACGATTGTTTGTCGTACGACTGCGCTGATGCGTTGACGAAACCTACAGGCCCTCCGTGCTTTCACGAACTCGGCGACAGATCCAGCGTGCGCTGGCGGGCTCGCGGATGGGCCGGACCGGCCGCGAGCCGTCGTGCAGCGGTCGCTAGCACGACGCGGTTGTGGTGTCCGTGTCGATGCGAGAGGCCGGTGCAGGCCGCATCAGCATGCTGACCACCGGCCTGGGACGGCGGCAATATCAGCCAATCGGCCGCGTGTTGGCCGCCGGCTGTCGCCCACAGACGGCCGAGTGTCGACTGGGACTCGCGGCCGGCCGCCACCGCCGCCGGCAGAGCTGTCCCCTGTCGAACGCCGCCGGCAGAGCCGTCCCCGCAGACCGATCGCTTTGACGTCATGAGCCTGCGTGACACGCGGCTGATCTCTGCGCCCGCGGCTGACCGGTCGGCCGTTCGGCGGCGGGTCAGCGCCGACCAAGGCCCCGGCCCTGGCTGGGCGCGTGTGCCGCATGGCGCAGCGCCGGCCGTCCGTGACACATATCTGGACACTCACGCCGGCAAACAGGCCACACGACGGCCGGCCGGCCGCCTGGACAGCGGCGAGCGGCGGTGCTCGTGGCGCCCGGGACCGGTCTGTCACCGCGTCTCACGGGTCTTAGGAGGGATATGTACTGCAGGAGGCCGTCGCTGACCTGTCGGCACTTGCTTGACGGCTGGCGGTGAGACTCGGGGAGCCGCGCCTGTCGCCAGCGGATTGTGCAAGCGGTGGTCAACGTCTACTCCCGGCGGTGTTTCGTCTTAGCGTCGTTGCGGCCCCGATACGGGTCGTGCCGCCGCCGCCGCCGCCGCCGCCATCGCCGTCGTTTCTGGGTCGGCCGTGGGGCGTCTGTGCCTCCGGCCGGTGCGGCGGCCAGGGGCGGCCTCGCTGGCGGCCGCGGGCGGGACGCTGCTGGTGCGGCGACCAGGGGCGGCCTCGCTGGCGGCCGCGGATGTCCCGGCCGGAGGTGGGCAGACGGCCGGGCGCGGCTCGCTGCAGCGGTCGCTTGGCTCGCGTCCGAGCGGTCCGCGGCGGCCAGCAGTCGTCAGGATGGCCGTCTGGACGGCGACGACTTGGCCGGCGGCCGGCGGCTGTCAGTGACCGGGTCAGTCAGTGTCCGCCGCCCCGCTCCGAGCCAGTGCGAACGGCGGCAGACAGACGACGCCGGTCAAGGCTGTTGAACAGTCCCGTCCACTCCTGTTGGCATTCTCGCCCGGGGTGGATGGAAGCGTCACATGTCTATATAGACCTCAGTGACTTGCTGACACTGTCTTTCATCACTGCGCGGGATGGTGGCACGCTTGCGGATCTAACGCATCCGGGCCTCACTCCGCCGTTGTTCTATGTTCGCTGCCCCTCTGATCTTGCTCACGGATCTGTAGCGGTCGGAAGGGCCCGCCGGTGGGCGTACGAAGGTGATGCGGCCACCAGACGGGCACGGCGCCGGATATGGCTCGGGACCGCACCTCTCGCCCAGTGAGACTGCCGCCTTACCCAATCAGGCTCGCGTTCAGAGGAGCAGGAGCGCGCGGCCGGCACGTACCGCCGGCCATCGCGCCGGCATGCCAACGTTGGTTCAAGGAACCGGCCACGCCATGGAGTTCGCAGAGCATGTCACTTGCCGTCGCCAAGTCCCGTCACGTATCGCCGTCCGTAATGGCTGCACTTACTACCGTCTCTGAGGTCTGTCACTACCCGTCGCCCTCAGGGCCGGTGGAGTGCGGCTATCCCTGGAGCCTTTCACACTATGTCACTTGCAGAGCCTGTCATGAGGATCGTTCCGATGATCCGTCCCGGTTCTCGGGGGCCGCCGCGCTCCGCCGGTCCCAGGGCCTGTGACGCACTACTGACACCGAGGCCCCTGGCGCGTCCCGGAGCCTGGCACAAGCGCCCGCCACTAGAGCCCCAGCGTCACCGCCACCACGCCGTGGCGACGCCGCCGAGCCGCCTCTGAAATCCCACGCCGTTCTGGCCGTGCTGCGGAGCGATAGCGGTCGGCGGACGGCGGCGCGCCCGGTCGTGACCGGAAGCTGATTCACGGGCGCGGGGCAGCGGCCGCGCGGCAGGGGTGTGCCGGTGGCGGCGGGCCGCTTGGCCGGCGGATCAGCGGCGGCCGGCGCGGTGCCGCCATTTCCCACGCCCGGTGACGCGTCAGACCGTGTACGGCGCGGCCGGGTCAGCTGACCGGCGGCGGCTGGGGCCGGCCGGCCGGCCGACCGCGGCCGCGGACCGGGACGCCAAGGCCGGGCGCCGCGCCACGCCGCGCCGCGCCGCCGCAGTCGATCGGTGAAAGCGTGCCCGCGTGGAGTGCGCGAGAGCGGCGCCGTTTGATGGGTCGCGGCGGACCAGCGCGCCGGACACGCCATGTTGGAGTCGCTTAAAGCCAAGCTCAAGGTGGGTGGCGGGCGGGCGGCGCGGCAGTGGTGGCCCCTGGTCGGTGCGGAGGTCGGCTGGAGGACGTGTGTCGCGGCCCCGCGCCCCGCGGCCGACTTCGGCTCACCGGCCTGGTCTTTGCTGCTATCTGTGGCCAGGCACGCGCTAAGGCTCGCGGTGGCGGCATATGTGGCGCTCTTGACGACGCTCTGGTTGTGCAGCGGTGCAGCTGTTGTGTGTTGCGGTTATCCTCCGGTATCGTGAAACGATGTTGCGTAGGACGGCTGGGAGAAGATTTACGAAAGATCATTGCTATGCACGATTTGGTTGGGAAGTTACGAAATAATAGTGCGTTGTGCGACAGATGGGAGAGCACGAAGCGGCGGCGAACTGGGCGGTGCAGGTCGGGGTTTACGATGCTGGGAACGCTCCCACCCTTTTCTCTTTACATCAGCTGCGATCAGTCAGCAAACAAAAACTTTGATTGCGTGACGTTCATGCGCTGGACACGGTCGACATGTGCGTCGAATACACCTCGGGTTAACTCGCGCTGAATTTTGATAAGTTTTTACTTGAAAACAATGGTTTGGGCTTCATTGGGGCTTTTTCCAGAAGTTCCCATCGGAACACTCTAATTCGTTGAAGCGTTGGCTCTCCATGCGCTGCCATCAGTGGCAGTCTGGGGTCGGACTCCGGACGCTCGAGTGCACGGCATGCACGCGATGAGATTTTAAGCGTCATCCCACCGGAACGCTGGACGCTTTCGGCGTAACATTTGTATTTCGTTGCATTTTGGGTCTGTGGCAGCAATGACTCACGGCTCCCCTCCTGCGGCAGCATTATTTGACCCCATTGGAGCACGCTGTGCATCCGTGCTCTCTCCCCGCCTTGTGTGATTCGCTGATCGGTGTTGGTCTTCCGGCGACCTGGCTGGCTCCAGGCATAGTGGCCTGGAGGCTGGAGCCGCCCTCACCCGGCCACAGAGGGTAGCCCCGGACCATCGTCGGCCCGTCTGCCCTGGCGCCCGACCATCGACAGCGCCTCGCCCCGGCGCCTCTCACCGGCGCCGGGCGCGGTGATTAGGCATGGTCGCAATCTCTTTGTCAAGCAAGCGGCATGCACGGCGCTGCCGCGATTTCGAGGTCAAGGGTTGCGTCACCGCGTGATCCCGTTTCTGCGATCATATCGGCGGAACGGTAAAGGCGTGCGCGGTAGCCTTTTTGGAACCGCAAAGGTGCACGCTGGCCGCTGGGAATTCAGGCTGCATGCGTTGGCCGGCTGCACTGAAGTTCCCCATGCGCCATAGCGGGCCTGTCTCAAGGTGGGGCCGCTGCGGTGGTCTGCCGCCGCGGTGGTCTGCCGCTCGCCGGCCATATGAGGCCGTGCAGCGTGCAGCGGTGCTGGTCTGACTCAGCGCGCCGGCTGCTGGGGTCCGGACTCCGGACGGTGACGGCCCGTCGGAACGAGGCGGCGGCGTGACCAGACGCGGCCGGCGTCATCGTCTCACCAGGCGGCGTTACGGCTCGTGCTGCCCTTCACGGCACGTCCAAGGAGGTTGTGCATGATGTGCCGTGACAGCAGCGGGAGAGGCTGTTGGGCCCAGCGCGCTTAAGAACAGGTGATGTACGCGCCAGACAACGCCGGCGACCAGGCAGCGTCTGGTCAGTGACCGCCTACCACCAACCAGCATTTCACAATCATATGATGGCCCGCGGTCGCCGACCATTGACAACGGCAGGCAATCGTCAGCTAGCGTCGAAAGTCGGCTGACAATCACCTGCCGCCCATCAACAACCACCAGCCGCCCACCAACAACCACCTGCCGCCTGCCAACAACCAGCGACGTCCCACCATTGATTACCGTCCCCCACCCAACGGCACGGCTGTCAGTGCTCGGCGCACGGACCACGGACCATGGACCACGCCCCGGCGGCGGCCGACGACAGGTCGGCCTCGCGCGCTCCGTCACGCCCCCACGGCGGCGGCGGCCCCCGCCGGCCGCTGATGAGCGCACGGCACGACACGGCACGACACGGCACGGCAGCCGTCTGACCCTCGTTGGCCGTCAGAGGCTGCGCCGCGCCCCGCACGTGCCGGTATGCCCCCGGATCGTGCAACTATGCCCCGATTGGCAGCAGCAGGGCTGCCGGTGTGCAGCGCTGGAGGTCACCGCTAGGCGGCGCCCCGGTCGGCTGGCGTTGAAAGGGCGGAGCGAGGGAACTTGTGGCTCGCGTCGTGTTCCGGAGCAGGCAGGCCCGCACGTGCCGGCCGCGATGGTGTTTTTGAGACGTCAAAAGTCGAGCAGTGTCCTGCGACCTGAATGCAGAAGTCTAGAGCCGCGGGTTTTCATACAAAATCGCTTGTACACCGTGTGAAAGTGTTCACGATAAGTTTTAACTAGCTAGCTTTATGTAATTGGGAAAGCAGTTGCATTTATACGCGCCTCCAGCGCAGGAACCTTCATCACAAATGTGACTGGGCGTTCCGAATTACGTGTACATGTGGTCAGGCCTCTACTCAAAACATTTTGATATAAAGGCGAGTCAGCACGTATCGTTACGATGTTCTCAGATAATCTCTTATTTTAACACGATTGGGCACATCAACTTCTGAATGAAATGACCCGTCATCATGTCTGCCATATGACGTGCAAATGACCCGTCATCATGTCTGCCATATGACGTGCAAGTAACTTCCCCATGTGTCCACGCCATCTTCCTGAGATCCGTGGCTGGCAAAGCTCACGCGAGCGACGTCAGAGCTGGGAAAGGCCTAGCTGAAAAGGTTTGTTACTCGCCCTCCGTTTCAGCCTACCCATACATCTGTTCGCCGATGTTTCTACAACTGCTATGTAAATAGCCCGAATGACAGATGGAGACTAAGCGATAACATTCAGTAAACATACCGCGACAAATAATGACGCAATTTACGTCATCTTACCCGCATCCACGCGACCGTCTGAGCCGGCCGGGCCAGGTCAGCGAACCGCAGAACATGCGGCGGCAACAACACCGCGCTACGTGCCTGCAGTCGGGCCCAGCTGCGCTGAGACAGGCGGCGGCCGGCCGTTTAGAGCTGGGGCCGACGGTCGGAGCACTCCGGAACCGGCGCGGCTTCGAAGCTGGCCAAACTTGTTTGCGGCTTCGGGGCCCGCCGTTCGAGCATACGGAAGGCTCAAGTTGTGACAGATCACAACGGATTTGTGAATCGTAATTGATGTTTATATCACAAGCTCCGTCGCGAACACGCGGATGAATGTCTGATGCGACTTTGTTTTCGGATTATTTCCTTGTGGAAGCATGTCATGGGTTTTGATAAGCGCGCGTAAGCATGGAGTTGTCAACAGGCAAAGTCATCAGCTTGTAGTCACTCAGCAGGGCGGAGATGTGAACGCACTTTCGATCCTCTGCATGGCGCTGCTTTCGTGGCAAAATGGCATATTTTTCATATCATTGCAGATATTGATAGCAGAAGCGAGGCAACATATAACGTTTTTATGTAAAATGGTCGCTCCGTCTGAGATCATTGCGACCGCGGTGTGTGGCGAGGCTTAGCTAGTTGTGGGTCTTTCTTCTGTCGTAATCGAATTTCAGTATGCTGGGAAAACGCCCCACGACGGGTCTGGAATTCGAGGCGTTCGAAATGACAAGTATGTGGGCTGGTGTAACGGGGCTTCTTCCGCCGAAAGGCAGGAGCTAAATGCCTCTGTTGCTCACACGAAGTATGTAGGCTTGTGTAACGGGGCTTTGGTGTGGTGGTGCCAAGTGGCAGCGGACCTGGTGTGTTCACGTCAGAGGCGCAGCACGACCCGACGGCGGTGCCTCATTCCGACGGTGTGACTACGCACTCCAGGTCTACAGTGTGTGCCATGCCAGAGGCGCGGCACAACCCGACGGCGGCGCCTCATTCCGACGGTGTGACATTCCGACGGTGTGACATTGACATTGACATCCATTGGGACGGAGTTAGCGGAGCTCGGCTCTGCATATAGCCTTTCTGTCGTATCATTTACATCTTATTAGGTTTGTTTAAGGCGCTTGTTGCCCGTCATCTGCAATTCATATTCTGGAGGGAAGCCGCAGCGTTTTCTGTTGTCTAAGGACCACGTGACTAAGTTTACATCGCATTCACGTATGTTGACTTCGCAGTTGTTAGCGACGGCCCGCTGTGCAGCGATAAACTGATGTCATGTCTGGACTGGAGGAGCTGCTTTTGACCGGCTTTGCGGTGGCATGGCCCAGTGTGTGGTGCTGTGCGTAGCCGGTCGGCCGGCGGGGCCGTGTTTGGTGGGCCGGCGGCGGCGGCGCGGCGGCTGTGGTTGTGGCGGGCGCCAGTGACGTTCGGTGTGTCGGCGCCGCTGCCCAGCCGCCTCGCAGCTCTCGCGGCCGGCATGGTACGCCTGACGCTCTCCAAACGCCAGCTGCTGCCGGTACGGCCGCGTCCGCGGCATGCCAGCGCGCCGCTCGGCCGGTCGGAGAGCGCTTCCCCGTGTCGGCTCTGCACGTGTGCTGTGCCGTGTGTGAAGGAGCCACCGCAGGTGACCCGAGGCGCTCGTCTCCCCGCCTGTTGGCTCTGCACGTGTGCTGTGCCGTGTGTGAAGGAGCCACCGCAGGTGACCCGGGGCGCTCGTCTCCCCGCCTGTTGGCTCTGCACGTGTGCTGTGCCGTGTGTGAAGGAGCCACCGCAGGTGACCCGGGGCGCTCGTCTCCCCGCCTGTTGGCTGCCCGTCATTCTGCGCTCCGTTGGGCGTTCGATCACCCCACGTCATTGCGTGGGTCCGCCCCGATCTGACGTGATCTGGGCCACCGTGCCCTGGTCCAGCCCGCCCAGTCTGCATCCCAGTCTGTATTACGAGCCTGGCGGCCTGACCGTCTGCACGGCGCCTCCGCCATGCTCTCAGGGCACTCCTGATCTCCCGCCGACTGGCTGTCTCGGCGCTAATTGACGGATGACGCCTGGTTGTGGCGCGGCGGCTCGGCCGCGTCCGCCGGGACCTCGCCCTCTTGCGTCAGCGAGGCCGC